GTTCTGTATTTTTAATATCACTTCTGGCTTTTCCTCCTCCTTCTCTCTCCACAAACCAGTTCCTCCTCCTGACTTCCTTATTTCTGGGTCCCACACCTCATCCTCCAGTTCACCTGACGCAGGGCCTCCTGGGAGTCACCTTTCTTCTCCTCACTGTTCACTTGCAATCGGTTGTCTTGTCCTGTTGCTTTTACCTCTTTTCTCTCTGCCATTTCTCTCACCCATCTCCCCCTCTTTCCTCCTCCTCATGGTCTCCATCCTGGAACAGACCCTCTCTACCTCTGGCCCAGACAGCTTTTTGACCCCTGATGGACTCTCCCCGCTCCCAGCCCCTTCCTCTTCCACCTTCTTGAGGTCATACATTCAAGGTCACCCTCTGCGCTTTGCTTCCTCATGAGGGATCTACCATCTAACTAAGCTTGCTACAGGTGGTGGTCTTACCCCTGCAAATGCTACATCCATTACAGCATCTTATACAGAGAAGGCATTTCATAAATATTTATTAAATTTAATAAACCAAAAGTCACTCGTATTTACAAAGTTTTCTAGTTTATTTAACCACAATCTTCTCTTACCCCTGAAATACGAAAGTTATTGCCATCACCTTTGTTCTATCACCAGCCTTGCCTCTCCTACTCTTTGAGAGTGTGAAGCCTAGCAGGTGCCCCTTAGGTCTCCAACCTTCCCTTCTGCCCCTTTTCTCCCAAGCCCTGGCTGGCTGCGTTGCGTGCCTGATTCCTGCATCCATACACAAGGCACTATATCGGGCGCTGGGGCTTCAGCTGATGGCAACACCCAGTGTCTACCCTCCAGGAGCTCATGGTTGTAGCTGGAGGAGGAAGCCATATTCACACGAAGACTCAAATGTCTACTCACCATCTGCCTCTGACAGTGCCAAAGGAGCCATACAGACAGCTAGACGGGGATGTTCTTACTCAGCGCCAGCCTCATTAGTGAGAAGTTAGACTGAGTAGAGTCATGCTCTGCTACGTAATAGCTCTAGGACCTTGGGAATGTTGCTTAACCTCTCTGCCACTCAGTTTACTTATCTGTAAAATGTGATAGTAAGGCATCGTTGTGAGGCTTAGGTGAGTAGTGCATCTAAAGTGTTTAGAACAGTGCTTGAAACCGAGTCGATGGGCAGTAATGTTAGTCATTACTGTTTTTATTATTTGACATAAAGGGTCACGGGAAATTAGAGGTGGGAGATACCTTGGCAAGCTAGGACTATCTCTCAGGATCTCAGATGCACCTCTGAATATCTAAGCCCAGAAAGCTGTCTCTGCAGGACTTTCACCCAACCTCTAACTCCCAACCCAGACCTCATTTTTGCCCCCTCCCCAGCTATTCCTGCCAGTATGTGTCAGGTACAGCTGAGGGCTGCCTTCCAGTGGCCTGTGAACCCTCTGAGGATGGAGGCAGCGGCTCTCGCCCCGACACATGCCCTGCCGGCCTTACTGACCCACTTCAACAAGTGTCTGGTGAGCACCCCCGGGTGCCAGGCTGTGCCAGGGCAGGGGCATTCAGAGCAAGCACACTACCTGTTCACAAGGTGCACACGTGCTTGTAGGCTCCCAAATTCAAAACCGACACATGCTATCAAAGGACAGAAAGTGCGCGGTGTGAGCAAGTAACAGGGCCTACTGTGCACGATCAGGAAAGACTTCCCTAAGAGGTGACAAGATCTGAAAACCCAATGTGCCACTGGCTGTTACATTTGAGGAGGGAAAGGTGTTTCACCCTGCCCTGCTTTCTCCCACAATGACTGTCAAAGGGCCCAAAGTCCTATATTGTACCCCAGGAATTTCCAGGCCTCTTGCTGGGCCAGCTGTGAGGTCATTCACCCTCTCTGTGAAGCTGCCACAGCCTTGGCCCTACAGGTGGGCAGTGTCCCAGGAGAACCTCAAGAACCCCAGGAAAACGGACCTCACAAGGCAGTGTCTAAACTGTGTCCCTGAGGCCATGAAGCCAGTTTTCTGGCCCTAGCAGCCCACTGTGGGGGAGAGAGACCTGCTAATTTGCTGTGAAGCTAAATGGGAGGAGGAGAGGGAGGGGAGAAGGATCCCGGGCAAACAGCCGCCGCCCTTTGGCAGTCAAGGGTCAACTTTGAGGTATGCAGCTTCCTGATCCTGTCCTAAAGGGATAGGGGGGTATGGAACCCTTGACAGGCACCTGGGAGTGGGAAGACAGGAGGGAAGAGGGCAGGACGGAGGAAGTGGGGACTGGCAGACCTGCTGCCTCCCGCCTGGGACGACCCCACCAGCTTGTAGGGCCTCCTACCCGCGGTGCCGACACCTCCGACCTCCCTACGGCGCGCAACTGGGCTGGGCAATGACCTAGGGAGGGGGCTCAGGAAACCCGGCTGCTGGACAGGGGCCGAAGCTTCCGCAAAGGGAACTCCTCTAGAGTCTGAGAAGAAAACTCGGAGTCGTAGAAGTGATCCCCAGGGGTGACTGTCGCTGTCAGTCGGGCGGAGCTCACATGCGCCCCCCAGGACCCACCGCTCCGCTCCCGGCGCAGCCTTCGGGACACCCGCAACTCTCCCCAAACGGGTCACTCCTCCCTCTAGGTCTCGGATTCCTCACCTGTGAGGTGAGACAGATGTCCTGACTCTGGCGTGGCTCCGGCTCCACCAGCGCCCGGAGTCCGCTGCCGGGGCGCAGGGGGACCGCAGGTTCTCCCGTCTAGAGGTCGGACACGGGCCGGCCCGAGAGCGGACGCGCAGACCGCTGGACCGGACCCCGCCGCGCTCGAACCCCCGAAAGCCGGCCGCGCGCGGTCACCGAGTGGCGCCGAGCCCGGGCCTCCGCCGGTGCACGACCCCCACCCTGACGGTCAGCTGTCCGCCCGGCCGACTTACCCAAAAGTTTCCTCTGAACAGTGAGCCCTTCATGGCCGGCGAGGGGCAGTCGGAGCAGTGAGAGTCGGTGTAGCAGGCGGGACCGCCTGGGAGGCCCGACTGTCGCAGTCTGCGGGCTCGCAGCCACAACTTCTGAGTTCCACAAACAGCAGGGAGGCCCGCCCCGGGTCCTAAACCACTCCTGCTTCCGACAGCCTGGGATCCCGGCGCGTCAGCTAGCTATCACTGTCTCGCCTGAGGTGTAGGCAGACACTTCAACGAGTCGCTTGCACTGCCCCAGGTGCTCCTGCTCCAGATAAACCCCAGGAGCACGTTTTAGTCTGAAATGTCTTGGAAAGGTCATTGATGCTGTTTCCTCTCGACTCTACGTCGCTAGGTGGGGTCCTTACACAAGGCCCAGGAGCTCAGCTCATCCTCAGCCTTCTCCCCAACCTCAAGACCTAATCCCATTCCAGCATTAGGAGCCCCGAGCTTCCTTCCCCCACCTCCACTCTTTACCCTCATAAGGTAACCCCAAGGCAAGTCAGACCCATCCCTGGTTTGAGTAAAACAGAGCTCTGTGACTGAGTACTGCCGCATGCTACCCATCCTGAACCCAGAGAGGCTGATTGACTTGTCCAAGATCACAGCTTATTTAAGGGATGAAGGGCTCAGGGTTAGAGCTCTGTTCTTCTAAACAGGGCCAGAGCCAAACAGATTGTCATTCCTATGGCAGATCCACCTTGGGCAAACAGTAGGTGCTCAAGGAGGGGGTAGGTGAAGGTCAAGGGTACCAAGACTGAGTATTCATGCCCAGTGAACAATCCCAGGCCTAGAAAGGCAAGCATTTGCCTCTTGAGCAGGTTCTAGCTAGATACCAACACAGTGAGAGGACGATTGTTGGAGTAATTTGAAGAACATCTAAAAGCTTCTGCCCAGTAATAGCACCCCCAGTCCTATTGTGATGATATCCTGCCCAGAGTCATCCACAACTACTAAGATGGAGCTCTGGCCTCCGGTCCTCGGTAGCTCCAACGCCATGCATCAATTTATCTGGCTGTTCATCTCCTTGGAAAGCAGCAAGGTTAGAGGGAAGGAAGTGACACCTGGCATTACCATTAGGGGACAGCAGAGGCCATGGAGGGCACCAGAAAGACAGGCTAAACTGCAGATTGTTGTGGTTAGGTGCCATTGAGTTGATTCCGACCCATAGGGACCCTTTATACAATAGAATGAAACACTGCTCGATCCTGCGCCATCCTCACAATCACTGCTATGCTTGAGCCCATCATTGCAGCCACTGTGTCAGTCTGCCTCTTGAGGGTCTTCTCTCTCGTTGACCCTCTACTGCAGGAGCGGTAAGAAATAGTGCTAACTGGGGAGATGAGGGAGGTTCAAGAGCCAAAGACAGAACCAAGATTTTTCCTGGAGTTTTAAGTATTTGGAACAAATATTTTCAATACAGTGCTAATTGTAAGGTTTTAATTTTAATACCTGTATCATTTTGAAAGTCTTAGAAAGTCTTACAAGCTCTGAATGTACATTGTGCTTGATTTTCCTGGCTCAAACCCCAAAGATCCCTAGATTTTAACTCTCTTTCTCCACCTGGTGGCAAGATTTCAAATTACAAGTGGTTGTCCATGCAGCCAGAAAGTATTATTCATTCCCCAAATATTTGTTAAGCTCATCACCAGGACAGGTACTGTGAGTAAAAAGACAAGTAAAATGTGTACTATATCTAAAGGTCTATAATCAGTTTGGGAGATATTTACTAACAAAGTTAAGTAATACTATCACAGCAAATTACTATCATAGCAATTTCCCTAATGCTTTTAGAAATATTACTATGATAAATATTTTGTCCTTAAATAATCAAGACAATTTACAATAACCATTGCTAATATTTTTGCATAGTCTCTTCAAATTAAAAAAAATTGTATGGTTAAGTTCTTACTGTATGTAAAATTTTGAGTCTTGCTTTTTAAACTTAACAATATTTCATAAGCATTTTTCTAAGGTAATTAAACGCATTTTTCCTAACAAAAAGCTTGACAGCACACTGTGCTGGCCTTGGTGTGAGCAGACAGGCACTCTTGCACATAAAAACTGGAAAACCTCTGTAAAGAGAACTGTGGCCATGCCATCAATATTTAAAATGTACCTATCTTTTCACCCAACAATTCCATGTCAAGGAGTTTACTCTTCAAATATATTCTCACCTGTGCAAACTGAAATACGTATACAGTTATTCACAGACGCATGCTTACTGTAGCAAAAGATTTGAAACAACTAAATGTCCATCAGTGTAGAACTAGTTCAATAAATTGTGATATATCTATACAATGAAATAATACTCAAGCATTGAAAAAAAGAATGAAGATGCTCTTTATGTGTTGATATGGAATGATCACCGGGATTTATTATTAAGTGAAAAAAAGCAAGATACAAAACACACTGCCATTTGGGTGAGGGGAAAAAAACACACAAGTGTTTTTAATGGTTCCCTCTGGGGAGGGGATTTGGGTGACCGGGGACATAGGCTGAAGGAAAAAAAAACCTATTGCCATCGAGTCGATTCCAACTCATGGCGACCCTATAGAACAGAGCAAATCTCCCCCATAGGGTTTCCAAGAAGTGGCTGGTGGATTTGAACTGCCAGCCTTTTGGTTAGCAGCCAAGCTCTTAACCACTGCACCACCAAGGCCCCATAGGAGGAAGACAGATCTACTTTTCACTTTATGCCCTTTTGGACCTTTGAATTTGTACCATGTAAGTTTATTACAAACTCAAAAGAAAACTCTTTAATATAATTCTTAAGTTTGCATAGGCCCCCATCAAGTGGATATACCAATACTTAGCATTTCCCTGACGCTTTTAGAAATATTACTATGTTAAATATCTTTTATATAAGTTTTTGTTAAAATTCTTCATAGTGGAATTACATGGTCAAAGAACATAAACATTTTTAAGGCTTTTGAAGTATATTGCCAAATTGTTTCCTAGAAAAGTTGTATCAGCTGTGTTCTCAGCAGTGTACCAGGGTGCTCTTGTCCCTGCCTTTTCAAAGCATTATATAGCAACATCCATAATCCTTGTTAATGTGATCATTGAAAATATCTTATTATGGTTTTAACTTGCATCTCTGATCGCTACTTTATCAGGTTTCTCATATGTTTGTTTTTCAGGCTATGCCCTCTTTTGGGAATTGTCTCTGTTCCTTGCCTATTTATCTGTAGAAGTCTTGTTATCTTTCAAATCAATTTATCATCTTTGCTGCAAATATGTCTTGCCCTGTATTCTCATGGCCTACCTGTGGCTTAATTGAATTAATTGGATTTTCATTTAATTAGGTTTTTTGACCCAGTTTTCATGTTTGTGCAACTATATCTACTGATGTCCTTTGTGGGTTTTTTCCATTGCTTTCTCGTGCGTTTCTTTCCATGGCATTCTTCCCCATCCAGAGATGAATGAAACACAGAAGTGTTTTCTTTTTCAATCATTATAAGAGCCTTGGAGCAGTCCTATCTACCCCCTTGTTACAAGCATAAGCTGACTTCAGAAAGAAAGAAATTATCCCACCCAGCTTGTATTAGTTATCTATTGCTGTGAAATAGATTACTTCAAAATTTACCAGCTTAAAACCACAAGCATTTATTAACTCACACAATTTCTGAGGGTTGAACTCAAGAGCTGTGTGATTCTGGCTCGGGATGTCTCGTGAATTTGTAGTCAAGCTGTTGGCTGGGGCTACAGTACTCTCAAGGCTCAGGTGGGGCTGAGGAATCTGCTTCCAAGCCTACTCCTTGGTCGTGGGCTAGTTCCTTGATGGCTGTTTGCCTGCAGCTTTGGTTCATCACTGTGTGGGCCTCTCCTTCATGGGCCCGCTCACAGCATGGTAACTTGCTTTCCCCCTGAGCAAGAGAAGAGTGAGAGAGAGAGAGAGATACAGAGAAATAGAGACAGAGAGAGAACTCAAACAGAAGCTGCAATATTTTTATAACCTAATCTCAGAAGTGACATCCCATCACTTCTGCCATATTCTATCTGCTAGAAACTAGTCAATAGTCCAGCCCACATTCAAGTGGTG